TCCTTCATGTGAAATCTGTAAAAAATATCTTGCACCCACTTCTTTTGAGAAATAAAGATCCATTAGCAGATTGCATGACTTATATGCTAAGAAAGTAATGCATCATACCATGGTCAAATGACCTTTCAGATTCATCCATCGTAGACTTCTTGAATTCTTTAAACATGACACTATCATTTCCATTAAATATAAGATCATCTACATATAAGCATACAATAAACAATTTTCCCTAATTATCTCCAATTATAACAAAAAATATGTGCTCATATGTTCCTTCAGAAATAAGCCTCCATAAAGAGTTTCTTTAATCTATACATTTTATGCTCATTTTCGATCTTAATATGACCAAGGGTTTGTTCTACAAATAGCTGTTCCTCCAAGTTTCCATGGAAGAATGTTGATTTGACATCTAGTAGGAAAATAGGCCATGATTAATGCATCGCCAATGCGATCACCAATCTAATTGTATTATGTCTTTTAAGAGGGGTAAAAACTTCAGTATAATCGATCATATATTCTTGCTTATATCCCTTAGCTACCAAACATGTCTTATACTTATCAACTTCATCATTTTCCTTTAGTTTTGTTTTGAAAATCCACCTTACACCGATGGTTTTTTGCTCTGTCGGAGGATCAATCAACTCCCAAGTATCATTTCTTTCAATGGCATCAATTCCATCATCCATTACCTTCTGCCATTTTACTTCTTTGACAGCACTTGCAAATGTTGTGGAACCACGATCTGAAAATAAAGCAAAATGAGTTATGGATTATCATTTTCAGTTACCTCACCATCTTTCATCCATGTGGCATTTTTCTAATATGAGGAAGATATCATGTTGTTTCTCTCCACAATCCTGCCACAGTAGCTAGTGACAGATTCTCCATCCTTCAATTCCATCATCCATGAAGTATTCTTTCAAACAAAAAATTTAATTTTTTAACTAAAAATTCGTTTTAAAAATCAGCAAAAAGTAGCTCCAAACTAAACCTACGACAAATTTATATATACATCATATATTTAAATTTCAAACTCATAAATTTTTTATTAATAGTTAAAAATCTCAATAAAAAAATCAAAATGAGGTGAGTATAACAGCAACTGCCTTTGACAATGCAGCGCAGCAAAACCCAATTCATGACATGTTGACAAGAGCAATAATGCCGAAAAGGTCAGAATCCTTCCTGCCAAAATATTCAAGCAGGACAAAAAACAATTCCACCCGTTCCTTTATAAGAAGACCAATACTTGCCATTAATTAAGATCAAGCAATGTTACTTCGCGCGCAACCTCTTCGATCGCAGCAAAGGACGACCCACCCGTCCGCAACGATACCATTCCGCCGACGCGAGCAGCCGCGACCCGTTCTCTCAGTTCCTCACCTTCCTCAGAGTTCATCAGCCAACGGACTCGTTCCGCTATTTCATCGGAGTGTACCAGCCCGTCTGTTAAAGCCCGCATTGCCACCGCGAGCGCCGCCACCTCAACCAAGAAGTTTTTGTTCACCATATGTTCCTTCTGCTGAGGCCACGCAATCATCGGCACTCCGGCTACGATCGACTCCAGCACTGAGGTCCAACCACAGTGTGTCACGAATCCCCCAACCGCCGGGTGTTCTAGCACGGCCACCTGCGGCACCCACGACTTCACCACCAAACCTCTCTTTTTCGTCCGTTCTAGAAACCCCTTAGGAAGCGCCGCCTCCAGTTCCTGTGAGACCCGCACAACCCACAGGAAACTGTGCCCGGTACGCTCCAGGCCGACAGCGATCTCCCTGATCTGCTCACCTGGGAGGGCTGATCCCCTGCGCTCAAAGCTGAGAAAAACTACGCTGTTCCTCGGTCGGCCGCTTAGCCACGCAAGACTTTCGTGTTGAAGTTCGTCGCTGCTGTATATTTCTTGGCAATCTTTGGCTGTTATGGGACCGACGCAGTAGACAGGGGCCAGGGCGCTGCTAGGATCGCGGTTGCGTTCCGCAATAATCTCGAGTGCAACCGGCTCCAAAATCTTGAAGGTGTTTACGATAATTCCCGCAGACTGGGTTAGTCGTTTATACTGAACAATCATTGCGTCCGTCTCGGTTGTTTGACCAGTGATCCGAATCATGTCCGATGCCGGGATCGGGCACAGTGAACGAGGCAATTGTATCGAGGTGCCGCCGGCGTTCAATTGGTTGTGGAGAGCAGGGAGTTGGAGATAGACGGCGGAAAGGATGGCAGCGCTAGAGGGGAAAAAGAAGTAGAACCGGAGATGGACCTCGGCGGCGACTTCAAGGGCGGCGCTTAAGAAAAAGTCGAGGATGATTGCACGGGCAGATGAGGTGTAGAGGTAAATTTTGAGATGGGGGAGGACGAGGTGGAAGTGGTCGAGTAAGGTGGCGGAGCCGGAGTTCGACGGTGGGTTTACTGGTGGCAGGTGGTTGAAGGAAAGGTAAGGGTGGGCGGTGGAGACGCGGGAGATGTACGTGTCGATGTGTGAGTTGTCGACGGAGATGATCCGGGCAATGAGGATGGTGACGGAGACGCCGGAGCGGTGCAAGAGCTTAGCCAGCTCCACCATGACGTCAAGGTGGCCCCTTTCAGCCAGCGGGAAAATTATGATCTCCTTCTCCATCGCTCATAGGTAATTCGGCTATGGCACGATTACTATCTCTCTGCGGATTGGTGCGTTCTATAGCTGTGGAAACTCACGATGGGGCTCAAAATTAAGTGCGCAAGGTTTCGTTGTACGAGTACGAGGCTGCTAAATTCCGCCTTTTGTGGAACTTAAGTAAGCCTGTCAGAGTATCAGGAAGCCACGTATACTGACTGGGTCAGGCCGATCAGAGTTTCTCTTCATAAGCCGTTTGGATCAGTTATGATCTGAAGATAAGTAATGTTACACGCTTAAGAATATTTTAAGAGAATGTTTAAATCTGAATCAAGAAAATGTGAGCCATGTCATTAGTTCCATTACAATAATTTTTTTAATTATGTCACATATTATTTTATAAAAAATCATATCACATCATGAAAAATTAAAAATTTCCGCTTAATATTTAATTGGGATGCTTAAGAAATTGAATCCGAAATGACTTTTTATAATAAAAATTTAATGGGGGAGCTAACTTTCAATCGTTTAAGGATGCTCTCTTAGGTAACTCATAGGCAGGTGATGTTCCTCCCTCTTTAACTCAGTCGACCTTTAATGGTGTGCCGACAGCTTTGCTTTCGAATGAAGAAGTTCTCAAACTTGCTTTGTCATTTCAATTTACTCTAGTAGGTAAAATTGGTCTGCGTAGGCCGAATCTTGATTTGATTCGTGCTTTTAACGGTAGTCTTAAACTCTCGGGTTTATTTTCCGTTGGCCTGTTAGACTCTAAACAAGTTGCGATTCAGCTATCTAATGACTTAGATTATAGTCGTGTTTTTGCTCGAAGATCTTACTTTATCCTTAATTGTCAAATGCATATTCTTAAACGGACCTCTTTCTTTGATGTTAGAGAAGAATCCCCCATTGTGCCTATTTGGATCTCATTTTTCCTAATCTTAGTCTCCATTTTTTCAATGCGAAAGTTTTACATGCTCTCGGTTTGATTTTTGGCCGTCCCCTGGAAACCATTCAGGCAACTGCTTCTAGGACCCGTCCTTATGTGGCTAGGGTTTTAGTTGAAGCTGATATTACAAAGAAACATGCGAAAAAAATTTGGGTCGGTTCTAAAGCTTTTTGTTATTTACAAAAAATGGAGTTTGAAAAAGTGCCGGTTTTTTTCTCTCATTGTAAGACTCATGGGCATCTTGTTACTGAATGTTTCAAATTGCATCCGAATCTTAAAAAAAACTTCTAACCCCTCGGTGGGGAAGGTCGTCTTTAATGCTAAAAATACTGCCAACGAGACTTTTAATGACCAGATTCTTTCGAATCATGTTTTGACATCAAATGGAGAAGTCTTAATTCAATTTACTTTTGTTGGTAAAATTGGTCTGCGTAGGCCGAATCTTGATTTGATTCGTACTTTTATCGGTAGTTTTAAACTCTAGGGTTTATTTTCCATTAGCCTGTTGGACTCTAAACATGTTGCGATTCAGCTATCTAATGACTTAGATTATAGTCGTATTTTTGCTCGAATATCTTACTTTATCCTTAATTGTCAAATGCATATTCTTAAATGGACTCCTTTCTTTGATGTTAAAGAAGAATCCCCCATGGTGCCTATTTGGATCTCATTTTTCCTCATCTTAGTCTCCATTTTTTCAATGTGAAAGTTTTACATGCTCTCGGTTTGATTTTTGGCCGTCCCCTGCAAACCGATTAGGCAACTGCTTCTAGGACCCGTCCTTATGTGGCTAGGGTTTTAGTTGAAGTTGATATTACAAAGAAACATGCGAAAAAAATTTGGGTCGGTTCTAAAGCTTTTTGTTATTTATAAAAAATGGAGTTTGAAAAAGTGCCTGTTTTTTTCTCTCATTGTAAGACTCATGGGCATGCTGTTACTGAATGTTTCAAATTGCATCTGAAACTAAAAAAAAATCTTCTAACCCCTCGATGGGAAAGGTGGTCTTTAATGCTACAAATACTGCCAACGAGACTATTAATGACCATATTCTTTTGAATCAGGTTTTGACATCAAACGGAGAGGTCTTAAATTTGAAACTTATCTATATAATTGTGCATGAATTTGTCTTCAATTGACTAAAAATTATATAAAAAAAAAACTCATCTTTGGATCATAAAATCATGATCTTACCATGATCTCAGTTTTGTTCCAAACGGCTTATGAAGAGAAAATCTCTGAAAGGCAACACCTGGTTTTTTTTTTTTTTTGGTATACGTGGCTTCTTCGCACTCTGACAGGATACCCACATCACTGGCTGGCAGCACGTGGGCGACCTATTGCACTTTGAGCGTTTATTATGAGCGCGGGGGTTCCACGGCTATAAAAAGGCACCAATCCACAACAAGATCGTCATTCCAGTTTATGTTGAAGGAAGAAATAGCCTTACGTATGGCCGGCGAGCGAATGGGGAAGGAGATCGTAATGTTCCCGCTGGCCGCAATGGGCCATCTCCACCCCATGGTGGAGTTGGCTAAGCTCTTGGCCTGCCGCGGCGTCTCCATCACCATCCTCATTTCCCAGTTTCCCTCCATCGAAACCAAAGCCATCAACTCCTTCATCTCCCGCGTCTCCCACCACAACATTTCCTTCCACCACCTTCCCACAGTCTCCCCACATTCTGAGTCCGAATCCGCCATTTTTCTCGACTACTTTCACCTCACCCTCCCCCACCTCAAGGACTACCTCTCCGCCTCATCTGCCCATGCAATCGTCCTTGATTTCTTCTTCGATCCTGCCTTTGAAGTCGCCGCCGAGCTCCATCTTCCCTGCTACTTCTTTTTCTCCTCCAGCGCTTCCCTCCTCGCCGCCTTCCTCTACCTCCCTACTCTCGACAATCAATTGAACGCAAGCTTTAAGGACCTCGGCGACACCCCTATCTACTTCCCTAGTTTTCCATGTCCGATACCAGCCTCGGACATGCCGATGCGAGTCGCCGATCGAACCAGCGAGATGTCCAAGTCGCTGATCGTTCAGTACGAGCGACTTGCCAAGTCAGCCGGAATAATTTAAATAAGGTTAATAAAGATATAAAAATATATATATTTTTTATTTATGTAGAAGTTAAGAAAAAATTACACCATGTAATATTTATATTAAAAGTGAATTAATTTGATATAAATTATATTTATATATAATATAATTTTTACAAGTTTAAAATCATGTTTAACATAATTAAAAAAATGGAGATATTAAATATTTGAGAATAGATTTTGAATTAATTATGTATTATAATCAAATTTAAATCATATTTTTCTGATATTTTCACACCCACTTGAACCAACGGCATGAAATGCAAATAAAACATAATGGACGTTCGGTTTGCATTAAATACAATGAAGTTACGTTTTATGAGGAAAACACCGATTGATGATCACATTTTCTTTGAAAATGCAGTGAAGTATCACGTTTTCAGAGGAAAACACATGGGGATCGATTTTCTTGGAAAACGCACACTGCTTTGAATTTTCTTTAAAAATGTAATTCCTGTACACGAATATGCTCCTTTTTAAATTTATTTACTATTATATATGCTTGTTCTCTTAAATGATTTTTAAAGCATGATCCTTCTCAAAATTTCTTGCCCTTTGGAACGTAGGAAATAATTTTTTTAATAAATTACGTTGTTTTATCTTCTTTCAGTGGACATTTGTTGAAACAATATTTGTTGATTTACATATGACTTGCCGATTTGTCCTTACTAAGCCGTTGTTGTAAAGTCCACTATATATATCTTATGGACGATACGTTGCTAGCAGGCAAAAGTGATCTTACGATTAATTTTTTCCGCGGGATGGTTTTTGGAGGCGAATCAGTATACGTCATGTTATATTTTTGTTATATAAGCTGTGTACTAGATAATGTGCGCATTTGATTCTCCTCCGAATGATCCGCTGGCTGCACAGGATAATTTCTCTAAATTTAGACGGCAAATATGGCAATACTTAAATATTGACGCTGGCAATTAAGGATGTTTGGTGTAATACTGAAAATTTCATTTTCTCTTGGTTACAAATTATTTTACAGAATTTTTAGAATTTATGAGGTTTAAATTTATATCAAATTTCTATAGATTCAGCAAAATGATGGATCTGATAAAATAATTCATTTCTTTATAAAAATTTTCCAATTCTTATCAATCAAATATGCAATAGTTATAATGAGATAATATTAAATCATAAAAAGGATAAAATTTTCTTCAGAGCTGAAATAATTAGGAGATCCATTTTAGAGAGTTTCTCGGTAAAATAGAAATGAAAAAGTATTTTTATTAAAATTTTAAGCTTAAATAAGAAAGATTTCAATTTTAAAATATATCTTCATCTCAAAAGTTTTAAAGAAAAAAAAAACATTTAATGATTGGATATGATATCTTAAAATTAAAATTCTATGCCATAACTTGTAATTTGGTTAAACTCAAAAATAAAAATTCATAAATTATAATTTTCTCAAATTTTTTTCATAATAAATGTTTTCATCAATAAAACACTTTTTAACATCTTCATGTGATCAGCCAAAAAATTACTTTTATTGGAGCCTCATGAAAATTTTAAAATTAAGAATTAAGCAAGAGGCTTGAATTATTTTTTTATTTTTTGGGAATTTTTTTTTATTTTAAGTATAATACAAACTTTTAATTTTATTGCATTTTCAACTCTATATCAACCTTAATTATGTCCATATAATGTTCAAAATTAAAATTTAATATATTGTATATATTCTTGATTAATCTATTCTTGTTTCTTACTACTTACTAGATAATATTCAATTTGAAAAAGAATTTTCTTTTGTATGATATCTTAATTATCCAAATGCATAGCAGCACATTAAAGTTAAAACAATACCAAGAGCATGGCATATTCATGCATAAAATATAATGGCTGTTTTGGGTTAGTTTGTTGCATTTTAATTAAATATTATTTTTTTAAATTATGATTTAAATTTCATTCATCTGATTTTGATGATAAATATATTATAGCCAAGTGATTTTGTTAGTATTTGTGGGGTATTTTTTAGATGTAATTTTTACAAAATTTTATTTTTATTAATATTATCATCTAATTAATTGCTGAAACCCCTATCTAAGTAATGATTAATAAAGAGAACTATTATTCATTAAAGTTAAAAAAAACATATTTATTATATTTATAATATAATAATTTCTATAAAATTATGATTTTATTTTATACTGCATAATAAATCAAATTATTAGAAATATATTAAATTATCAAGTAAATCCTATAAAAAAGACTTTTACAGCTAGATTTTATAAATTTCTAATTTAATTTAACCTTTTTTTTATTTTAAAATTTATACTATATAAAAGATAATTATATTTAATATTTTAATTTAGATCATATTTGCAACTTTAATTCTCCATTTAGAAGGTTATATACAGTTGTGTATAAATAGAAAATAAAAGATATTGCTCATAAGTACCTAAATAAACATCTATATAAAATACTTATTCCATCATTAATAAGATGGATGTAGAAAATAAAAGATTTTGCTCAGAATTAACTATACACAGCTACGAACAACATTTACTCATATGGGAGGAGCAAAAGGGTTTAATATTTCATTCAACATTCATTAATAATCCTCCATAATGAACCCTTAAGCAATTCTTTTTTTCTAGAATAAGACTCTTTATATTAAAAAAAATTTAAGCTAGTAATGCAATATACAATACTTTTATTGGATGATTTCCCTAAGTTAAAAAAAAAAAAAAAAATTTGTGCAGCTCAATTTTATTTTTCTTCTCAGATCTTCCGAAAACTCTGGAGACATGGCGACTAAAAAGGAACAATAGCAAGTACTAGGGAGAAATGCAATTGATTTAGAGATACCATACAAACAAAATAAAATTGCACAAAACTCATATCACATATATACATGATGAAATGAATAAATGAAATACTTATAAAATAAAAATAGAAGTGACTCATAAGTTTGATTGGACAATTTATTTTTTAGGAGTATGACCTATTTATTTTCTTTTTTTTCAAAAAGTTTGTCATGCATTTTTATACATACCACAGCGTGATAAAATTGATCGAACATAACATTTGTCTTAGATTTGTTGCATCCTCAAATATCTGTGGTGATATAGAAATATAAAACTTAACGTCTTAGTTTTGTACGAAGACCCAACACATAATCAGATAAAAGAAAATGGTGTATCGTTCATAAGAGACACCGGAGTTTTTACGTAGAAACCCCTAAAATGGAAAAAAACTACAGGGCTTGGCCCAGTTTAAATGAATCCATTATTACAGTCGATTATAAATGAGACCCTTCATTTAAGGGAAGGCATAGGCTTAATGTAGAAAATATACATCATATAGAGTGCATTACGCGGTGGAAATTGGACAAATCGGTATTGACATGTTGTTTGGTCGGCAGGACTATAGTCAACGGGCGACGGACGTTGGAAGGATCGTAGTCAGGTGATGGTGGTCGGAAGGACCGTAATCGGCGGGCGACAGAGGTCGGAAAAATGGTTTCAGGTGATAGAGGTTGGAAGGACCATAATCAGCAGATGACTGAGGTCGAAAAGGTCATAGTCTGGTGACGGAGGTCAAAAAGACAATAGTTGGCAAGCGATGGAGGTTAGAAGGACCCTTATCTGATGACGGAGGCAGGAAGGACCATAGTTAGCTGATGACAAAGGTTAGAAGGACTGTTATCTGGCGACAAAGGTCCGAAAGGATCATAGTCGACATGCGATTATGGTAAGAAAGATTGTTGTCAACGATGGAGGTCAGAAGAATTATAGTTGGCGGGCGACGGTGCTTAGAAAGACCGTAGTTGGGCAACGGAGATCAAAAAGATCGTAGTATGTCTATGGAGGTCATAATGATTATTATCTGGCGATGGAGGTCCGAAAGGACTGCAGTCAGCGGGCGACGAAAGTCGGAAAGATCGTGGCTAGCGATGGAGGATAGAAGGATCATCATTGGTGGGAAACAGAGGGCAGAAGGATTGTAGCTGGCGGGCGGCGTAGGTTGAAAAGATTGTAGTCTAACAACGGTGGTTTGAAGGATCATAGTCAACAGACGATGGAGGTCAGAATGACCGTTATCTTGCGTTGGAGGTCCGAAAGGACTGTAGTCGGCAGACAATTGAGGTTGAAAAGATCATACTCGGGCGACATAAGTCGAAAAGACCATAGTAATGTGAAAGTGATCCTAAGAACCGTAGTTGGAGAGCGACGAACATCGAAAAGATCGTAGTCGGTGTTAGTGGTTGGAAGAAAATCCTGTAAAAAATTGGTGACTGGGTGTAATTCTGATGATAATTGATGGCGGACGAATGCCCGACAAAAGTCGGTGGTCGAGAGGAGGAGCTTGGTGGAAAGAGAGATCACAAATTTCTTTTCCTCTCCTCTTTTCTTTTTCTTCCTTGCTTGGTCTCCCCTCAATGAAGAATGAGGGATCTATTTATAATTTTTTGGGAGTAGCTTTGACAATAAATAGGGAGAAGATTAAGAGCATTTGAGAATGTTTTGAATGAATAACATATATTGCCTCCCTTGATTATAGACTGTTTAACAAGTATTTGAGCGCTTTCATTATGTCATAATTTGATGAACTTGGACTAGTTGAATTCATCTCATCGAGCTGATTGACTTGACTATTTAGAAATCGTTTGGTCATCCAATTTGTAGTTTGAACCTTCCGAATGCGTTTCGGGTATTCTATTTGGGCCATTCAAAATCGTATTGAGTCAAATTTGGTGTCATTGGGTTCCTCTTTTCGAAACGTTTAGTCTGACTATAAATTTGCTGAAATCATAATTCATATGGTCCCAAATTCAATTTTAGAAAATTTCAACTTAATTTTGTGTCGAGATTCGTGCCGATCAAGATAAACTTTTTATGATCTATCAAGATTAGAATTCCATCACCATTGTAGATCAATGCCTTTCATGTCCATTGATGAGCCATTAAGCCATAATTGTTGCTGATTATACCAGGAGAAAAATGAAAGAATCCAATCGTCTTAGTTTTGGTTGTTGTGATATTTTTTATGCAGATATAAATTAACTATGCTCGGTAAAATATGACAGATTGTTATACTATATTTACTTCAAACCTTCGGCACAGAATAATAAATAAGAAGAGATGGTGACATGGAGAACCTTCGTCTAGAGCAGAATAGGAGAAAAAAGGTACTGTCAAATTATCTGATTAAAATTTTAATAACAATAAACTTCAAACACTTAAATATAGTTAAGATGTATATATAATCATTTTAAAAAAGTTTTAAAGATTTTAAAAATAATTCTAATAATTTTTTTATCTGAATATTATGATACTACAATTTTCCTAGAAAATGGACAAGCTTCAAGGGAAATAAATGTAGAAATTAGCTACTTCTAAAACTACAGGCACTTGGTACAGCATGTCAAGCCAAAATAATATCCAGTCGGGGTTTATTTATTCATTTTTCACATTCAAGCGTCTGACAAGAAAAAAAAAATTCCTGCAACTCTTTTAAAAAAATAACTTAAAAAAAAAAAAAAAAAAAACTTAAAAGTTGATAGTAAATATTTGTGTAACTCAAGCGGAACTTATCAATTTTAATATTTCAGCAATATTTCATCATAAAACTCTAACAAATTCAAGAGAAAAACAGCAAAACTATATGAAAATTGATGAGGAACCAAAGGAAAACACAAAGATACAGTTGATCCTCAATTTGAGAGGAGGATTGTTAGACTGGTCCAGCCAAATGCAGGCTCTTTGGAGAAACAAAGGTCTCTTAATGCCCTTAAAAGGTATGTTTTGCTGACTTCGAAAATAAAAGTGAAAAAGAAAAACAAGACAGGTGGCTAATGGCAGACCTTGCAACAACTAAAATTTAATTACACTATCAAAATCAAAGATGGATTGCTATGTAAGGGAATATAGAATATTATTCAAAGTCCCAATCTGAAAATTCACCTCCTCCAGCATCAGCTTTCACCCCCTTCATCGTCCCGTTCCTCAATTTCATCAAATTGTCAACACTCTTCATGGACATTTTGCGCGCCTCCTTCACCCTCCAAGCTGTTCTCCTGATAATAGAGAAAAGGGTAACTCAATTCAAATTTACATGGTAATAATATTATATTATGGAAACTAATGTTTGATCATTAGTTTGATCGAGTAGAATGGACACAATTTCTCTATCAATTGATTTACCGTCAACTACATGGCATAAGAAGCTTCATGCCAGGGGGAAAAAAAAACAAGCAAATCAAGACATTTAGTAAATTTGTATTTGCAATTTCACTTCAAGTAATTTCTTGAAAATTTTAAGCAACATTAAATGATCATGTAGATATTATCATAGAAATTGCAACTCAGTTGCACAAAGCTTTGACAACAATAATAGATTCAAACATCATAAATTTAGAAAAAAAAGTTCTAACACATTATCAACTATTTTCCTACCAATCTCTCTATTAAGCTCTACGCTAGTCGAGCGAAAAGTACACGACTTCATGAAAGATGATCATGTAAAAAAAAGAACTTTAATAAATAATATATTAACAAGAAAATAGAAGGAATAAATTATAAGAAGAAGCAAACTCACAATGATATATTTGAGAGGATTGGGCCATAAGCATTCTCTGATGGCATAAGCAACCTGTACGAATGCATTTTTCTTTCAAGATACGAGCAAAAGCTTTTTATATCGGAAATGCTACTACAAAATACATTATTCCAATTGAAAGCAACGAAGGATGAGAAATTTATCACAAAGTGCGGCTTCTTTTGAATAGCTTCTTTTTACTTTTTCAATATTAAAAAATAGTGCATGTAGATCTTCCTAATATTGGTTTTTGTAAGGGGGGTTGTACAGTCTTATATTAAGTATTAACCCTATATATATATATATATATATCACATGATGAGGGATGTATCCAATTTATTATGTGTAAATTTGGAACGGGTTAAGTGATTTTGGATAAATTAGGTAGATTTCTATAGATTTGTTGGTTATATAAGTTGAAGTAGTCTGAGTTTTCATCAAAGATCTGAGAAGGATTGGATAAGAAAGAGAATGGGGAAAGAAAACAATCACAAGTTCATTTATGATAGAAGTATCATGTTGATAAACCAATGTACCATTTTGATGAATACTTAAGTGAGCACTTTTTTGTAATTGTTTAATACACTTGCAAACTATCTCTCCGAATTTTATTTTATTTTATTTTACTTGTCATGAGAAACTTGGGAATTCTCTTTTCACAGTTGAGAGAGGCTATACTATAGATTTAGAAAAGATTGGCGAGTACCTTTTTATTGCCTACTCTGCTTGTGTTTTCTTTGTGGATTGAAATCTCTATTCTTTCCCATGAACATAAGCATAATTAAGTTGAACCATATAAGTTTATGTATTATCTATATAACTTGACTCCGTAATAACATAAAGTTAGGCACAATCCTGGTGAAGCAATGCAATTTATTACGTAACAGAAGAGTTAGCTTTCAAGATACAGGAAAAATTCCCAAAAAATAGAGACAAGTTGAGGGGAATACTTTGAGATTATCGGGAGAATTAATCATGCATTGCATAATTTGTCAATGGTAAATTGTACCATTGCAGCATTTAAGGCCAGGCGATGTCTATTTCACATGTCGGAAAATTTAATAACAACTGCACAATTAGTTTAGTGATCTTATTTTAAAGTGCAATATTTATATCACACAAGTCTCTCATGGGTACTGAACTCACGTGGCATTTAAGCTTGACGCAATTAGATTGCATGGTGGTGATCCATTTTGAGCTTCGGTAGCTAACATCGCTCGACTTGGAGAGAAGTCATAAGGAGAACTAGGTATTGCCAAAACATTGAGTCAAGGTAAAGATTTGTAAGGTAATGACTTTATATCCATATACAAATCACAGGGTGAAGTAGGTATTAACTATCTTGTGTGAAAGCATGGGAGTGAGATGGGTAATTTATTAGGTATTAACTCAATATTTATACATGAAAATAAGTTAGATAATAGATAGTTTTGAAATTTGAGCTGGGCAATTTATAGTATTTAATTAACTCTTTCTTTTGGATAAGCATCTTCATCAGGCTACCAAAAAAAATGTCAGTCGAGTTGCGGTGCCTAGGGTTTCTCCTCTCCCAACTGCCGCTTCAGTTGGGTAACCTTTCTTCCCTAAATCTCTTTGGGTTTCTTTGTAGTTTTCCTTCCTATGGCTGTGAATAGGTTAAAGGATACCGGGTTTTTGGATGGGAAGGTTAAATCTAGGTCTTTTAGAGATATTATATCCGGTGAGTCGGCTTCGTCGGACTTTCCCCCACTCAAAGTGTCTTCCCACCATGATATGCCGGCTTTGTTAATCTCTGATGAGGAAATGATTTCTCTTGCAATGCCCTTCGAGTTTGCTTTAGTTGGGAAGTTTCCGGGCCGTCGCCCGCCCCTTGATACGATTCGCAAATTTTTCTTTAATCTAAAGCTTGTTGGTGAATTCTCGGTTACTTTGTTGAACCCTAAAAATGTGTTGATTAAGCTTGTCAATGACTTAGATTACTGTAGGGTTTTCTCTCTTCGCTCCTACTTCGTTAACAACTGCTTCATGAAGCTTTTTAAATAGACTCCACATTTTGACATAAATGTGGAGTCTCTCATAGTCCCCATTTGGGTCTCTTCCCCTATTTGCGCCCTCATCTTTTCTTCCCCAGCATTCTTCATGGCTTGGGTTTGCTGTTTGGTAGGCCCTTGAGAATGGATAATGCGACTACTAATGGCTCTAGACCTTTTGTGGCTCACATATTAGTGGAATTAGATGTTACTAAATGATATACTTCTAAAGTCTAGCTTGGTTCGGAGTCTATGGGTTACGTTCAATCGGTTGATATGGAAGAGTTTCCTTCGTATTGCTTTCATTGTAAAACTTTGAGTCATTCAAAGGATTGTTGCCCGATCCTTTATTCAAATCTGAGTGCTGTTCCTCCTGTCAAGGAGGGGATCGTGCCAAATGTTCATTCTACACATGATCTAGAGGGTCTTAATATTGCCTTTGCCAATGTTTATGGTGGGGTGGCTCAAGGTGATATGAAGAAAAATCAAGATCTTATATGTGCCCAAGATAATAATGGTGTTGTTTATCCTTTGCTTAATAATGTGGTGCATGAGATCATGTGATCTGCTTTATCTTAGGATCAATGTGGTGCTGTTTTTCATAGTTCTTGTGGTTTTATTTCGCCTCTTGCTAATGTCCAAGAGACGGCAGATGTGCCATTGTTTAGCTCTGATGATGTAGGGGGTTGTGCATTGGCTTTGTCGAATGTGGAGATGGAGGGGGATGGTGTGGTGGCAAGAGCAACTAAAATTTGTTCTACTTCGTTTGATTTTGTGGTTTCACCTATTCTTTTAGAGGGGCCGGTTTCGCCCTCTTGTTGGGGCTACTGGTGATGTGATTTCGCCTATGACTGAAGGACATGCGAAACCTGGGCCCCTTGTTGAGGTTCCTATAGTGGTTATGTCCCCTAAAGGTTTGATTGCTCAATTTGTTTCTAATTTAGGTGTTAACTATTCCGGGTATTCGGGTCGGGATGTTGTATCTCCTTTCATCATCTAGTGTGGGTGGTGATGATATTAGTGATGAGCAAGTTGAGTCTCTTCAAGATTTATACGGATTAAAGGTTTGTCAGGTTGTTGATAAAGCTTTCTCGCGTGTCAGTAAACGTCGGAGGAGAAAATCTTAAAAGTAACTGTTTTCTTGGTGTGGCTTGTTTTTTGCTTAGCAAGTGATTTTTATTGAAGTCTTTTTCAATTGTGAGTTGGGGGTTGTGTTATGAGAGTGGTTGTTTGGTTTGCCTTGGGGTACGGACTTATTTTTGAGTTATGCTAGTCGGTTTTGCTTGGCCTTGGTGTTATTTATGGGGGAGGAATTTCTCTCCTATCCTCGTATTCCTATTCATGTTATGTGCAGGTTGTTTCTTTCTTTTCTGGACTTCGATCCATGTAGGTTGGATGCTCATTGTGGACGGTTGCTAGAGAGTTATTGCTTTTGGTGCAATTGGAGTTTGATGATGCTTCTTTGTTGTTATCTTTTGTTTTGCTTTGCTTTTTATCTTATGTATTTAGTTTGATTTAAAGCTCGTAAGTTTTATTTCAAATGATGTTATTTTAGTGAGCTTATGATCTTTTAAAGACTTGTAATTTTTATCCTTATTAATGAATAGGCTCCGCCGTGGTTTTTTCAAAAAAAAAAAAAATTCTTTTGGATATTTCTCCTTTAGTATTTATCTCCTATTTATCTTGAGAGATTTAAGGCTTTTCTTTTCTTTGTTAAGTGAGGGTAAGTTCGGATACTGAAAAGCGCTGGTAAGTTTCCATCTATTATACACCACAATTTTTATTTTTTAACTAAAGGATAACCTCTCTCCTTCTCTATGGATGTAGGCATATTTATGTTGAACCACAGAAATTTTAGTATTTTCTTTTACAGTGCCTGAGCTTTTTTATTGTCACATTGCGGCTCGTTATTCTTGTTCCTAGGTTGATGCTTTCATAGCATAAGTTAGGTGCACGCTTTTGCTTACACCCTACCCTTCCATTTACGAAGACATTTTCCATAACTCAAACCTAGGATCTCCATAAGACACTCAGGACAACTTAACCACTTAATCCAGCCAAATAACATCTATCTCCAAGGGAAGGTACTTAGTGAAAAATTATATTTGATGACTGGAAACAAAAATGGGTTATGTTTATTGAAATCGTGCAAAAACCTGTAATGGTGCTTTCAATTGTTTTGAAAACACGTATTATTCTCATTAGTGAGATTATTTAAGCAAAAAGAATATTAATTATGCTTATTAATTAAATATAAATAAGATTAGCTAGTTATTATTTAGTACGGTAACTAAGATAACAAGGGTATAAACATGTAATTTTGATTAAATATGTGATGATTAAGTCATTTAATAATCAATTAAAATAATTCTTATCAACTATTTCTTAAATCTAATAAAAGAATAATCAGGGTTTTAATTATGATCATTAAGTTTTATTAATACCTAATCATGATAACCAAGTTAATATCGTTAGTTACTTGATTAATAAACCATAATAATTGGTAATCACCTATTTGTTTAGGCTTAGATTAAAATATAAAATAAAAAAGTTTTTAATTAAGAAATATTCAATTTTCTTAACATTTAATAATAAATAATTAAGCTTAAGGCAATAAATTGTGAAGTAATTGACCATCGTAATTAGTAACAAACAAAAATTTATAATAAAATTAAATAAACTGTTAATTCGTAATTAGTATATTTTTATGAAATTATGATTAGAACAAATAATTAATTAATAACCATAGTAATTGGTGAAAAAATATTTGCCTAGATTAGTTAGGAATTCATCAGGGTTTTAATTATGATCATTATACAACAACATCAAGTCTTTGTACCACTATGTGGGTTTGGCTACATGAATCCTTTTTTCCCATTGTGTCCGGTTAAAAGTCAAATTCTCATCTAAATCTAATAAAAAAAGATCATTTTTAATATTTTCTAACCAAGTCTTTTTAGGTCTACCTCTACCTTTCTAATTATGATCATTATAGTATAAGAAAATTTTATTTATGATCATTTACCATGGTATAATTAAATAAACCATTAAGAATTAAAACAATTTTAAACTATATTTTGACTATCTAATTATGTATTTACTTATGTTGTTATTAACATAAGAAACTAATAATTAATTTAAAACTATGATGGTAATTCAGAATAATTAGCTTAAATGCTAAATTATGACAACTAGATATAGAACAGTTTTGTTTTCAATTTTCATATCAAAACCTTATTTTAAGAAATAAGTAGAATTTTCAAAACATGTTTTTTGAAAATAAAACCAAAAGAAAAAAAAAAGAAAAAGAAAAAGAAAAGCTAAAACAAATATAAAATGAGAACAAAACGAATTCAAACATGTCAAACTGAAAAAGGAATTATCTTATGTTTACCTTATCATTTGTGGCAGCTGAAATAGGAATTTGTTCTGTTCTGCTAAGCCACTTAAAGAGACTGTAACAGATGGTACTCTTAATCAATAAGCAAGCATCATATATAGGGCAATTAAGCAAAATAATTTCCATAAATGATTGGAAAAAAAGACAATAAATGAAACAACAAATCAATAATTGATTACAATATCGCAAATATAGGAATTGAGAGGAAACTAATTTAATTTGATCATACAATGTGCTTTGAATCTTGTATTCCTCAAAGGTTTTATTTAGAACCATAAAAGATCCAAAATAAAAAATTCCTCAGAACCCTGTAAGTTCCAATCAATTTTTTTGAGAATGACTACAAATGCTCAATGTTTGTTCATCCATGAAATTATTAATTCACAATTTGAGCGACCAAGTTTACACTTAACATGATGGTTCAAGAAGACCTCTTCCCACCTATTATGCATGCTTATAAGTGGTTTATTGTTAGACCGGTCCTCTATGAACCGGTCCAGCCGGCCCAAACCCTTGGGCCGGTCCCGCTGTTTTACCGAAGGAGGCCGGCGGGCTCAAGGGAGGAGAAAACCATGGGGTCCACGTGAGATTCAAATAATTTCTTGGAGCCAAAAGGAGGAGAAGCAAGGGCAATTAGATCCTTTTGTATTAGATTTGAATTGTATGCATTAAGTAGGGAGAAAAGGGAGGATTAGGGTTATGTCATATTTTGTAAGAGATTTCTTGTTCTTCTTTGGTAGCTAGGGCTCTAGATCGAATTCTAGAGATTGGGAGAGTGCGATCCTCCTCTCGAATAGAGGATCCTTGTATCTTTGCTATTTTCCTTGCATCTACTAGTAAAATACAAGATTTTTCTCAAATTTTCTCGCTGAATTTCCCAGAATTCTCCCTGTTTTGCTGTTTTTCTGCTGTGAACAGCAGTTTTGCTTGGAGATTTGCTAGAAAGTGAATAGGAAATACTTGAAATCAAGTATTTCCTATCATTTATCCCCTCATTAAATGTACTGAGTTGATAAAACACCTAAGCCATTAGTGGGAATTTTTATTTATTGCCACAATCCTAATTTGATTGCTTATATGCAGCAATTACATAATTATAACGTCTCATTTTCTGTGCTGAATCATTACAATCCATATATATTGCAACAATACATACATCAAGGATAAATTGGCTCATCAGGCTCCACTCATCTCATCAAAACATGGTGACCCACATCAAATATATGTTGAATTCACCACCATCTCAGGATCTATCTGTCTACCCACTTGTCAAACAACATTGTCTGGCAAACATTAGCAAATATGCTTGACTTCATCTGCCCAGACACGTCTCTCAATCGATCTCCTAATCCTTATCATTAGACACATAATTGTCACATCCTATACTTGTCGATGTAAGTTCTCCATACATTTCTAAATATTAATTGCTAATTCATTAACTTCAACTTTAAGGGCCCCTGTTACATGATATACACATATAACTAGGTCATCTTTTGGCATGTATAGGACAACATTTCATTAAGACATCAAACTCTTGTTATGTCTGAACCCTCGATAAGAGAAATCAATCTTGCATTGCCATTAAATCAAATGAAGTCCTTAACACAATGGATGAAGTCCATCAAGTTGAAAAATCTCTTTTTCTTAGTGGCGGTGCATGTCATCTCTAGGGTTGTAAATGAACAAATACACTTAATAAAAAACTCAAATTTTCTTAATTAATACTCATTCAAGTTCAAGATTAACTCTTTAAAAATTCAAAGGCTAAATGAACCAAAATTGAATATGACCCAATTTATTTTTTATATTCACAAATAAATTTATATTTGTTAAACGCTTAATATTAAGTTCAATGATAGCTCGTATATTATTTAATTAAAATTTGATTAAATATAGATCATTAATTAGCAGTTTAAGAAAATGTATTAAATATATTCTTTTGTTGGTCTATCTTACTTTCCAAATTTCCATCTATTTTTTCAAAAATCTATCTCTCATTATTTTATCCACTCATTCTAAGCTTCCAAGTTTCATCACTTTTAGTTTTCAAAATTGAAAAAAAGCACGAGGTTTCTAGCCCAAGAGAGGGTACATGAAGATAATGACTCTAAATACACCCTCATTCAATAAATAAAAATAATCTCCAAGCCTCTCAAGAGGAAAGAAAATAGTTTAGAAGAGATTGAAAGGAAATAGGATTAAAAATTTCTTCAAAACTATCCAAATTAGATGTTCCTCAAAAGTATCAATAATATATAGCAAGGTTATCAAAACAGGCCCGGAACAACTGGTTCAACAGGTCGAACCGGGAATCGGCCAGCTGACCGGTTCGGTTTGCTTGTATAACTGTATTAGCTTTGAACCGCCTGCGAACCACAAATTACCAGCAGTCGACCCTCAAACTGGAGAACCAGCACTGGTTTTTCAAAACCGCCAGATTTAACTATAAGTAAATTTGAGCCATTGGGTTGTGATCACAAGGTCCAAATCTACAACAACAACAACAAAAACATCAAGCCTTTATCCCACTACGTGGAGTCGGCTACATGAACCCTTTTTCTCCATTGTGTCCTATTAAAAGTCAAATTCTCGTTTAAATCTAATAAAGAAAGGTCATTCCTAATATTTTCTAACCTAGTCTTTTTAGGTCTACCCCTACCTTTCTTAACATAATTCAAATCTAATACCTCTACTCTCCTAACCGGGTCATCGCAAGGCCGCTGTTCTATGTGACCAAACCATCTAAGGCGACTTTCTCTAATCTTATCTTCTACTGGAGCTACTCCAACTCGTACAATCTTCTCGGGTTCCAAGTCAAGTAAAAATAATTTTTTTAATTATGGATCATACTGTATGAACCCAGTTCATATATGCTTTCATGAGTACAATCTTCTCGGGTTCCAGGTCGCATAAAAATAATTTTTCTATGTATGGATCATACTGTACGAACCCAGTTCGTACATGCCTTACAGTGTATGAAAATGCGAGGTCCCATTTCATCTCGATGTTTCATATAAACGAATTTTGAAAATTTCTAACTATTCATCCTGGATGAACTTAGTTCGTACCGGATGATGAGCAGGTATTAAATGATTTCATAATGAATCATAATAGGTTCATATGTAATAGTATTTGAACTATTTATACATATGAAACCTGATCGTACTGTATGATCATGTACACTCAAAATTAAAAAATTTAGTTTTCTGGATGGTTTTTTGTGTCTTTTATATAAAAGGTCAGTTATAAACTGACGTAAAAATCTTTACTTGATGATTTTTCAGGAGCAATTAAAGGAGAGAGTGTGAGAGAGTGTTTGAGAGAGATTTCTTGCTAGTGGAGTGTGAAGGGTTCACAAAGTTACTCAAATATAAGGATCTCTATGTAATTTATATTTTTCACTCTTCCTCTTATCTTTCTAGATTACTCATGAGGAGATCTTTGAAGAAGATTCGGTTCTCTACCAACACTTGGAGAGTGTGAATAGTCCATGGTTCTTTAACAACACTTGGAGGGTGTGAAAGGATGACGGTTCTCTATGGACACTTGGAGAGTGTGAATAGTCAAAGGTATTTTGCCTATAGTTGGAGGGTGTAAAGGGATGAATGTTCTCTGCCTACACTTGGAGGGTGTGAAAGGACAATGGTTCTTTACCGCACTGGGGACAGATGGAAGAGAGTTTTGTAAAGGCTTCTCTGCCATACTGTGGGGGCAAAAGGAGAATCATTTTATTAATAGTGTAATACCTAAAGAGTGAGTCTTCAGGGAGTGGATGTAGGTTGTGTTTGACCGAACCACTATAAATCTTTATATCATTTTAATTTCCACTACTTACTTACTACAAGTTTTTAATTCTGTGGTTGAAAAGTTTTATTTATGAAACTTTAATTAACTTTCTTTTTGAATCAATCGATTTCAAATTTTAAAATCTAAGAGTAATTTTAAAATTACCAATTCACCCCCTGACCATGGATTTGAACGCGAATGAAGCGGGCGGGGGCGGGGGGGCGGGGCGGGGGCGCGGGCGGGGGGGCGCTGGTAAGACCATATTGGATTTTTGTTTAGCTTGTGATTTTTTAATTGCTAATACTTTATTTAAGAAAAGAATGAGCATCTCATCACTTATAAAAATGGATATAATACAACCAGATTGACTATTTTCTTATTAGAAAATTAAATCGTTTAGTTGCAAAGATTGTAAATTATTCTGAGTAAAAATTTATGTACCCAACATCGATTATTAGTTTTTGACTTTAAGATAAAGGGAATAAAATAAAAAATAAAGTAAAACAATTTTCTAGGATTAAATGGGGCATTTAAAGAATTTTTAACAAAAATATTTTTGGAAATAAGATTTTAGATTTTAAGATTTTGTCTGTGCATGAGAGTAATGCTAATATTATGGGGAAAAAGTTGTTAGTGTATAAGAATATTGCAAAAGATGTCATTGGAGTATCAAAGGGAAAAGCTCATAATAGTAAAATAGTGTGGTGGGAATCCTAATGTGCTAGAAAAAATTAAAAATAAGAAGTTTGTTATAAAAATTGGTTAATTTTAAAATTATGATAATTAGGAAATATATAAAGTGGCTCGTAAGGATGCTAGAAAGTAATATGCGATGCAAAGGCAAGCTTTTAGTGATTATATAATAGATTAGATACTAAAGAGGAGAAATATAATGTATAAGTTAGCAAACAAAAGAGATAGGAGTAATAAGGATTTAGTTCAAGTGAAGTATATAAAGATGAAGATTAGAAAATACTTTTTTTTAGAAGATGATATTTCAACAAAGATGGATGAGATATTTTGCTAAACTTTTTAATGAAGATTGTGAAAATAAGATTGACTATTAGTGACCTTAGCACCCTAAATGAAAATAAAGATTATGTTTTTTATGCGTATTAGTAAAACTGAATAGTTAGAGAGGCTTTAAAGAAAATGAAGGGTGGAAAAGCTGTTGGACTGATATATTCCAATAGAGGTGTGGAAATGTTAGGAGTACGAAGGAATTTTCATTTGACTTACTAAACTTTTTAATACTATTTTGAAGACTAA